AAACAACACCCCCACCCACCAACAGAGACGAGAATGGGTCGACTTGGACGAAGGCAAGGCCACGCTAGAGAATTGTTGGGCGATTATTGAGACGAACAGCGCCCAACAGACCTATAAGGAGGAATCGAGGACATGATAGGAAAACTGCAAAGTGAATGAGTCATTGAGAGGCATAGAAATTGTACGGGGTGATTCTGGGCTTGTGCTTCGCCGGGTTTCTCGTACGTCGCGCTCTGCCGTGACGGAGGATCAGACTTTCTCTTCTTCAGGGTCTGTTTGGATTTGGGGTCATTTATGTGGTTGTAATTACTTACCGTCAGGCTACTAAAAATGCATAGAACTAATCATTATATTGTTGTGTAAGTTTTGTTGGCTGATACGGCGATAGAGACTCAAAACCCAGTGCTGGCAGCAGCCGCATTGCAATTTCCGAGTCTAACCAAGATCGTTTAGGGGTTGTATTGGTTGGCTTATCCCTAAAAAATCAAGAAAAAAGAAGAAGGGTCCAGAGGGGAAATTAATTTAAAATGTTATTTTTATCCTATCTTTATATCTCTAATAACTCACCACAAACAATTAATAAATTATATTTCATACCAACTACACTCTCCATCCTCGATAAAAAATAAGGCAACAAAAACAGGTCACAGTAATCTAAACATAATCTCATTCTTCACATCGGCATACTTATAAAACACTGCACTTCACATCATGTCAAGTAATATGGTGAAACAACTATCTCATTAAAGCAATTTCGTTCCAAATCCATGTTTCTCTTGCATATATAAAAAGCTAAGGAAAATCGATTTATCCATTAAAATGTGAGTCATATCATGTCTATACATACAATGACAAAACATCTCATCTATCTATTTTTTAGTTTTTTATGACATGAACAAACACCAAAAAACGAACCATTACAAGATAAATAGTTTTATAATTATATATTCTATGTATTTTTGTTGTTCAATCAACAACCAAAAACAAATTTTCTTAAAAAATCATCAAATCATTCTAATAAGTAAGTGGTGACCAGATCATTCGTAGAGCAACATCATGCTATTCTTCTTGATTATATTCTTACTTTTTTTATTAGTTCCACCAAACAATGGCAAACAAATTTTTCTTAGAAGGTAGGTTTCTCCTATTACTTAAGTTTCCATCTCATTTAGGCAAACAAACAGCCACTTGACTTTCGCGTACATATAAGCTGTCAAATACATTCGGATCGCTAGACAGTACGCTATTTTTGAAATCATTGTAACAATCCACGCTATTATGTGAATTCGACTTTAAGTGGTTTAATCTTGGACCTATTAACTAAAAAGATGGCTAAAGATTTTTGTATGACTCTGCCTCTCATAATCCTATTCTGGGAGACTTGCATCTCAATAAGGATATGCTGCTCTGCTGTGTTGTGCGCGCTCGTAGCGTGTTATTGCCGTGATTCGTATTTGTACTCAAAAGTCAAAATTAGCTATAGGATAGTTGAGGTAACAATCATTTATGATTGGAATAAATAGACATGTACTTACGTTGAAAAGTATGACATACTTACTTGTCGCTCGTAACATAGTGTTTGTGCTGCGTATCTAGTTGTGTGTAGTAGTAGCATTGATTAATAAGGGAGAAATACTTCCAGGAGCGCAACCTAAGAAAAACGTTTTCTCCCCCAAGAATTGTCAATTCAGTTTTTCACGCTAATAAAATTAAAGATTTATCTCCTAACCTGCAAAATACAACCTGCAAAGATACAATATGTAAGACTATACAGTATTCCTCTACTCTGCTCGCTTCTTCTCTCTCTATCCTCTAATCATCTATGTAACCGAGATGATAGTTTAAAAATGATTGATGAAGATATTTTTTTTTATTTTATTATTATTATTATTTTTATTTTTCGTTGTTCGATGGCGGAACTAACTGTTGATTGGAGATTGTTAAAATTAAACGGTTAATTGTTAATAGTACGAGTTAAATTGTTTAAGGTTAAGGTTCAATTGTTTAAAGTATGATCTCTTCTTTCCTTTTTCATCTCTCTCATCTTCTATCTCTCACTCTGCTATGTAAATAAATATATAATAATCTATATATAGTAATATATAGCATATATAATATGATATATATGGTAGTATATGATATATTATGATATATAGTAATTATGTACAATTATCCGATGATGTTAATTTGTGATGATCATTGAAATGTATATTGAGAGGAGTTGGTCTATTATTATTGTTTTTTGTTTTTATTATTGTTGGTCACCTTCGCATGTTGATGTGCAGGAAAGCTTTATTGTTTTTGTTGTGTATTGGCGTAATGTTATCCGGGTTTACAGTGTCATTGTTAAAAGTACGTGTTTGTTATAAGTTAAGGACTACGCGGCTTGTTAAGGATTATTCTCCGTTGTTATAGTTATGGGTCGGCTGGCTTGTTATAGGCTTACGTGGTTGGTTTGGAGAATGTTACCGTATAGGGATATATATATGTAATCTAGTATAGTTTTAGTGGAATGAATAACTATGGGTCGCTTGGCTAGTATAAAGGTTTGGAGATTTGACAAGTAGTTAGCGGTTCAAACCGCTAGCAGCGATAATATTTTTTAAATCTTCGTTGCTCAAGAATAAGGCCTTAAATGGTGAATTGTCTACGGGTGGTTGTTAAGGGTTACCTGGTTTGTTGTTAAAGTTATGCGGGTTTGTGGGTATCAAGGATATGCTTAGTATTTGCGAATGAATTATGCTTGGTTGTGAATTAAAGCTAACAGCAACAAACGGATTACCTTTAGAACCACTGCCGTACTTTCACTAAGCGGAATCATTACTAATAAAGACCCGTATCTTACAACCAAAAAATATTTACAACTGATTATATAATATAGTGAGAAAATGGGTAATCTGGTACATCTAAGCATACCAATTATGTGCTTGTAGTGAGCAGTGACATATTCCCGCCTAGTCATTCACATATGGTTCTGGCATATGGCTGCAAGCCACATTCTTCCAACCACTGTGAAATGTAGTCCCCATTTAAGGTGCAGGTGTGTCCCGTCACTACTAAGCACAAAATTTGTGTTTGTACCGACAGATCATACCATATTACTCTTCTTACTCATCCCCTATATATAGTATATTAGTACTATGTGTAATTATATCTATAGTCCAGATGTATATTACAATATATTATAGTATCTATACAGTATAAATATATTTATATACTATTAATATTGTATAGTAAGAGAGAGATAAGATGAGAGAGAGAGAGAGAGAGTAGCGAGGAGTAAATGGTATTCTTGTTCATTAAGGAAGGGATTATTCTCCTTGAAGCATCTTAAAATCACATGAATTTGATTGCGACATTAGTGGATATGATATCCATTTTGATTTGAAACCTTTGTATCAGCATATGTCTAAAATCCCCAACACACCAAGTTTTGGGTGTGAAGGTCGTCGTCGTTTGTTGAACCTTCATGCCAGCGTTCATCAAATTAACGGGGTTTTGATTGAAAGATATGCTTTATTCAACATTGGTGATGAGAGTCCAAACGGACGAAAGAATTCACATCCATAACTTGTGGGTTGGGTGTTTAGAATAGTTTAGATCAAGTTTCAAACGGTGAGCGTATATGTCCTACATGTCGCTTCAATAATAG